GCACCCCTGGCCTGGCCCTGCTTGGCAAAAACACCTTTGTGAGTCGATGGCTTTGACGCTCTTCTAGCCCCCCTCCCACCCGAAAGGGGACGGGCTACTTCTCCCCTGGCATTATCGAAAAGCCTCAGCACAAAGCTGGATACGAGGGGGAGAGCTGGGGAGCATGGGTTTTGGGGTGGGCTTGGGTGCCCCGAGGCAGCCTGTTGAGTCCGAAGATGTCCCATTTATTTATTTATTTTATTTATTAATTCAATTTATATCCCGCCCTTCTCCTTACTGGACTCAGGGCGGCTGACAGCCTTGGCTCCCGCAGGATCTTCCAAGTGTGTCTTTTTGATTAAACCCCTTTTGTGTAGCATCACGTAGAAGCAACCCACTCCTTGAGGGCAAGGCAGGATGGATGTGTGTGTGTGTGTGTGTGTGTGTGTGCGCGTACATCCACACCTGCCAATGGAAAAATCACCTTTCGAATAGCATAAAATGCAGTTTCTTCCCAGGCTGTTTTTTTTTTGTTTTGTTTTTGGAGCAGGGAGTTGCAAGACAGACTGGCTGGCTGGCTGTCAAAAAATTACATCATATGGGAGTAAATTGCTTTTAAATCAAGCATCCATTATTCATGCATATTAACTGTTTTCTCCTCCTTCCCTCCCAGGTTTTTTTTTTAAAAAAACAAAACAAAATCCACACTTTTTTTTCTCTCTCTCTCTCGTTCCTCATTTTTCACCTAATCGTGTTCTTTTTCTTTTTTTTGCTCTCTCCTTCACTTGTCCCTTTCTTCCTCTAGTCGGTTGTTTTTTCAAATTTGAGCTCATCTGCAGATCTATGATCAAACGGGTTTGCTTTGCTAGAGAGAGTCATTCGTTACACCGGCACTTTAAAAAAGTGACTTTCAGTCAGTCCTCTGACTTACAAATATGTGAACAACCGGTTCTCTGTGTGGATGCCGCTTCTGGAAGTCCATTCTGGGCCTGGGCAACAAAAGAATTAGCTACTGGTTCTGCCGAACTGGTGTGAACTGGCTGAATCCCACATTCTATTATTCTATTCTATTCTATTCTATTCTATTCTATTCTATTCTATTCTATTCTATTCTATTCTGTTCTTCATCCTTCCTATTCTATTCTATTCTTCATCCTTTCTATTCTATTCTATTCTATTCTATTCTATTCTATTCTATTCCATTCTATTCTATTCTTCATCCTTCCTATTCTATTCTATTCCATTCTTCATCCTTCTTATTCTATTCTATTCTGTTATTCTATTCTATTCTATTCTATTCTATTCTATTCTTCATCCTTCTTATTCTATTCTATTCTGTTATTCTATTCTATTATATTCTTCATCCTTCCTATTCTATTCTATTCTATTCTATTCTATCCTATCCTATCCTATCCTATCCTATCCTATCCTATTCTATATCCTTATTCTATTCTTAAAGCCACCGCAAGCTCCTTACAAACGCAGCCTTCTTTTTCCATGTACCAGAAGCCCTGTGTCTACACACCCCTGTTCATCCCAACACCCTTTTTGGGGGTTTTCTTTTCTTTGGGGAAAGACAGACTCTAGCAAACTTTGACCTCATCCTGGTTCGACTAGGAGTGAACTACGCAAATGCATTTCCACCAAGATTCTGGGTGGATTTTGATTTTGACCGTGCTCCTGTCAAAAAAAGATTTTGCCTGATTTGGAATTGCAGATTTGGACGGCAGGGGAAGGTTAGGCTTCCAAATCTTTGTGTCGGGACCGATGGGGCTGCAAGAAAAACTTCATTTTGCAGAGTAATAACCCATTTCTTTATTCCTGTGCCCATTTTTGTCTGTCCTATCCTGTCTTTCTGCTAAAGGTTCCCAGTGACCAAACTTTTATCCTGGCCAAAGAGGTGGCATTAGGCTAATGCATCGCCCGAATGCTAGAGAAAGCCAAGGCATGAATAATTGATCCCGCTCTCCCGTCTGAACGATGAAGTCCCATTGGCCTCGGCCTTATTAAAAGAGCGAGCGAGGGGGAGAGACAGTAAAGGTCGTTAAGGGATTTGGAACTTGGGAAGAATCGCCCACGAAATGGATGCCGTTGTGTTGTGTGTGTGTGTGTGTGTGTCTGTGTTTCCCCCCCTCCCATCTCCGAGGTCTTTAACTCAACCTCATGGTGAAGGCCAACTTAAGGCGTTAGGGATACGTTGAATTATTCAGCGTGAAACAGAATGGGAGTCAACCGGAGTCCAGAAATTTTTGATTTTGAGAGTTTGGAAGTGGTTGAGCTTAGGAAGGTGGGCATATCTGTTGGACAGAGATGGTCCTTGGCAAAAGGGCATAGTCTAGATTAGGGGTCCATGGACCAGTACTGGCCCACAGCATGCCAGCAACCGATCTGCACAAACAAACAAAGCCCCATCTGTGGGATGCAGGCAGCACACAAAACCACGCACCCTCCAGTCCGTGGAAAAACCTTTCTCCACGGAACCGGTCCCTGGTGCCCAAAAGATTGGGGATCATGGGTCTAGAGGCCCAAATTGATTGACAGATTGATTTGTACCCCACCCGTATTATTGTCACTCAAGGCAGCAGGCATATCCAACACCTTCATTCTCCTCTTTTCCCCTCAACAACAACCCTGTAAGGCGAGTTGGGTGTAGAGAGAGGGACTGGCTCAAGGCCACCCAATTGGCTTTCATAGCTAAGGTGGGACTAGAACTCCCACTTTTTAGCCCGGTGCCTTAATCATCAACTGCCCCCCCCCCTAGTTGCAGCTGCCACCGTCTTTGAATGCTAGGGATCTGCCTTGTGTGAATACACCTTGAAAGACATTGCTGATCATATGTGCTAAGCTCAGGGTCCACAAAAGGGAAGGAAAGTTTGGGAAAAAAACCCAAAACTCAAGAGCATCTGAAGACGTTTTCCCACTCATATGACTTCACCCAAGCCCAGCCAATATCATCAGAGAACAGGAATGATGGTAGCTTACTCCGGCGACATTAGAACGGTGTTTCTCAACCTTGAGACCTGTGGACTTCAACTCCCAGAATTGCCCAGCCTCAGCTCGCTGAGGAATTCTGGGAGTTGAAGTCCAGGGTTCTTAAAAGATGCCAAGTTTGAGAAACATTGTATTAGTAAAGCCAAGGCTTTTATCAACATGCCACTGTATACATATACCGTCCGTCCTCAGAGTTTCTCACTAGCCTGTTCGTGCTCATCCGGGATCCTGACCAACCCAGCTGGAGATGACCATCTTAACCAAATAATAATAATAATAATAATAATAATAATAATAATAATAATTAATAATAATAATAATAATAATAATAATAATAATAATAATAATAATAATAATAATAANAAGCCAAGGCATGAATAATTGATCCCGCTCTCCCGTCTGAACGATGAAGTCCCATTGGCCTCGGCCTTATTAAAAGAGCGAGCGAGGGGGAGAGACAGTAAAGGTCGTTAAGGGATTTGGAACTTGGGAAGAATCGCCCACGAAATGGATGCCGTTGTGTTGTGTGTGTGTTTTCCCCCCCCCCCCCATCTCCGAGGTCTTTAACTCAACCTCATGGTGAAGGCCGACTTCAGGCGTTGGGGATACGTTGAATTATTCAACGTAAAACAGAATGGGAGTCAACTGGAGTCCAGAATTTTTTGATTCTGAGAGTTTGGAAGTGGTTGAGCTTAGGAAGGTGGGCATATCTGTTGGACAGAGATGGTCCTTGGCAAAAGGGCATAGTCTAGATTAGGGGTCCATGGACCGGTACTGGCCCACGGCATGCCAGCAACCGATCTGCACAAACCAACAAAGCCCCATCCGTGGGATGCAGGCAGCACACAAAACCATGCACCCTCCGGTCCGTGGAAAAAACTTTCTCCACGGAACCGGTCCCTGGTGCCCAAAAGGTTGGGGATCATGGGTCTAGAGGCCCAGATTGATTGACAGGTTGATTTGTACCCCACCTGTATTATTGTCACTCAAGGCAGCAGGCATATCCAACACCTTCATTCTCCTCTTTTCCCCTCAACAACAACCCTGTAAGGCGAGTTGGGTGTAGAGAGAGGGACTGGCTCAAGGCCACCCAATTGGCTTTCATAGCTAAGGTGGGACTAGAACTCCCACTTTTTAGCCCGGTGCCTTAATCATCAACTGCCCCCCCCCTAGTTGCAGCTGCCACCGTCTTTGAATGCTAGGGATCTGCCTTGTGTGAATACACCTTGAAAGACATTGCTGATCTATCTGCTAAGCTCAGGGTCCACAAAAGGGAAGGAAAGTTTGGGAAAAAACCCAAAACTCAAGAGCATCTGAAGACGTTTTCCCACTCATATGACTTCACCCAAGCCCAGCCAATATCATCAGAGAACAGGAATGATGGTAGCTTACTCCGGCGACATTAGAACGGTGTTTCTCAACCTTGAGACCTGTGGACTTCAACTCCCAGAATTGCCCAGCCTCAGCTCGCTGAGGAATTCTGGGAGTTGAAGTCCAGGGTTCTTAAAAGATGCCAAGATTGAGAAACACTGCATTAGTAAAGCCAAGGCTTTTATCAACATGCCACTGTATACATATACCGTCCGTCCTCAGAGTTTCTCACTAACCTGGCCGTGCTCATCCGGGATCCTGACCAACCCAGCTGGAGATGACCCCCTTAACCAAATAATAATAATAATAATAATAATAATAATAATAATAATAATAATAATAATAATAATAATAATATAGTTCCAGATGGACATCCCTCAAAACAGCCAAGCTTTGTGGTCTAGGATTAAGGCCGAGTTTGGACCACTTGTTGTCCCTTCCTTCTTTTATCCTTCTCATTCTCTGCTGTCTCTTTTCGTGATTCATTTCCTAATCCAATAAACGTCCTGCCCAGTTCCAGCTCAAATGGACAAAAAGATAAATGGCAGAAACCGAAGGCTGAGCCAAAGAAGTGATGTATGAAATTCAAGCTGCAGACAATCACCAGTCCATCCATTGTCCTCAGCTGACCCCCTTGTGTCTTTCTTCTGCTGTTTCAGATCCTCCTCTACAACCTGGAAACGGGGCAGTGTGTAACACAACTTACTGGTCCTTTGGGTGACTTCACGTGCCTCAACCTCCAGGAGAGTCCTCCCCACATGTTGGTAGCTGGAAATAAAGCCAGAAGGTAAATTTAAGCTGGGGCAGGTGGTTGCCTTTGGCGGGATAACATTTTTAAAAATTTGGTGCCCAAAAGCAGGATGGTGACGCAGAGGCAGCGAATCCAAGCATTTGCTTCCTGGTTTAGAGGTTACACATCCGTTTCCGAGTGTTTTCCATCTCCAAATAGTCAGAAATCACAATTTAGAGTGGTTGGAATTAGGAATGTCTGGTTTAATGACAAGAAGGACGAGGGGGGACATGAGAGCTGTGTTCCAATATCTCAGGGGCTGCCACAACGAAGAGGGAGTCAAGCTATACGGCTGAGGAATTCTGGGAATTGAAGTCCACAAGTCATAAAGGGGACACAGTTTCCCCCATGCTGGCTGAGGAATTCTGGGAATTGAAGTCCACAAGTCATAAAGGGGACAAAGTTTCCCCCATGCTGGCTGAGGAATTCTGGGAATTGAAGTCCACAAGTCATAAAGGGGACACAGTTTCCCCCATGCTGGCTGAGGAATTCTGGGAATTGAAGTCCACAAGTCTTGAAGGCGCCAACTTTGGACAGCCCTGTTCTAGGGTCTGAGAAATTCCATATGGAGTCAATTTCAGTAAATCACCACTGCAGCTTCCAACTGAACTTTATGCATTAGGTAATGGTTGGCTGTCGTTTCCCCTTCTTTTTAAGAGCTCCGTCAGCCTCTCTCTTCCTCTTTTTAAAAAGCATTTGGTGGACGCAGTTGGTGCACATCCCAGTGAGGTCTCTTGGAATGCCTTCTCCTTTCTCACTGACAGTCCCAAAATGAGCCTGGCATGGAAAACCTCACTTCCTGAAGAGCCAGCCAAGAAAAATTTCCCAGGGGAGACACTCCTGAAGCCAGACCGTTTCCAAACTGCAGCCAAACTGTACACAGGGGCAGTTCTCGTGTCCCTCCATTTTTATTTTGTTCAAAGGAGTGTCGTCCACCTGAACAGCTTCCAGGTTGAGCAAATTAATAGCCTTCCTGTCCTTAGCCTTGCCAGTCACGTTTTAGTTAGTTTCCCCATCTTCTTCCTAACTCTAGGCTATCTCTCAGATAGCCTAGTAACAGAATAACAAGAGTTGGGAGGGATCCTGGAGGTCTTCTAGCCCAACCCCCTGCTCAGGCAGGAGAACCTATACCATTTCAGACAAATGGCTGCCCAGTCTAAAAACCTCCAGTGTTGGAGCACCCACAACTTCTGGAGGCAAGTTGTTCCACTGGTTAATTGTTCTCACTGTCGGGAAATTTCTCCTTAGCTCCAGGTTGCTTCTCTCCTTGATCAGCTTCCAACCATTGTTTCTCGTCCTTCCCTCTGGTGCTTTGGAGAATAATTTGACCCCTTCTGCCTTGTGGCAGCCCCTCAGATACTGGAACGCTGCTATCATGTCTCCCCTATTCCTTCTTTTCTTTAGACTAGCCAAACCCAAGTCCTGCAGCCTTTCTTCGTACGTTCTAGCCTCCAGGCCTTGGATCATCTTCGTTGCTCTTCTCTGAATTTTTTTTCCAAACTCTCAACCTCTTTTTTGTGATACGGTGACCAAAATCGGCTGCAGCATTCCAGCTATGGTTTCCCTTTATAAAGTGGTAATATTGCTTCGCCTGTTCTTGATTCTATGCCTCTGTTTATACAGCCCAGGATCGTATTAGCTTTTTTTGGTTGCTGCTGCACACTGCTGGCTCGCAGTCAAGGGATCGTCCAGTAGGACTCCAAGGTCCCTCTCACAGTTGCTGTGTTTAAACCAGGTCTCGCCCAATCTGTATTCGTGCCTTTGGTTTTTCCTGCCTAAGCTGGATTAAGTGCTGCCTTTGCCTCTGATTAAGGAGAGAAGAGTCCCGTGGTTCGTTTTGTGGCGGAATGGGGATTGGGACCCTCACCCAATCCAGCCATTGAAATCAACTTCCTCCCAGAACTCCATGCAGGAATCTGGAAGTTGGTGCCAAGCGATTTCTCCCCTGCCGGTTGGCTCCGGGAAATTCAGAATTTTCTCCCTGGCCAGTTCCGTCCCTGGGAGACACGAGCGGGCCGGGGCCTCCGATCCAGCGCCGGGAGTGGAGGCCTGGGAGACAGACAGGTTGGGAAGACTTTCGAAAACAACTCGGCAGCGCCTTTGTTTTCCCTGGGCATCCGTGCCTGGAAGCTCGCTCCTTGCTAATGAAGCCACAAAGCCTCAGCCAGGGCTGGGGAAGTCTGAAGGCAGGCTCATTAGCATGCGTGGCGCCAGCGGGCAGCGAGCCAGGCCCCGCGC